GCCTTCGATGGCCGCCGCGCCTGTGCTTCTGGGCCCGCACGCTGGCCGCTGCAGAGACGCGAGGCTGAGCCCCATGGTCTCCCTCACAGAAAAAGTCAGGAGGGGGAACAAAAAAAACACGGACACAATCAATCGTCGATTCCCCAGAAAATATGGAAAAAGATTGGACTTGGAGGGGAAGACAGAAACCCAGAAAAGATTGGGAAATATGGAGAATCCTCTATTTGTGTGTATCTAGTTGAGTGTCCCGGGGCCCCTTCAGATGTGGCGGGGGGAATAGAATAGATCGAGAACCCGCTCTTACTAGACACCCTAGCACGGCGAGTGCGGGCGCCAAATGGTTCTCAGCCTCGACGGCGATGGTCTCGACGAGGAAGGTCGCCCAGCATGGGCTCCTTCGGCCTCCTCAGACATGCTCTCGAGGGCACGACGTGTTCGCCTGCGTTATCGACGCGGGGAGTTTTCTAGTTCTGCATCCTCGAGATAGATACGCGAGTGGCCACGTTCTGATTGGTTTCGAATCCGCCTTCCCTTCTTCCAGGGCCCAATGGGTCATCGACGCATCGGCCCCCGCGGGGGCCCCCGACGCTTCCGCCCAGTTCTACAGGGCCCTCTATGAGAGCAACACTGCGATCGTATACATATTCGGGCCGACGTTTGGGCCCTCCTCCTTCGGGCGCGGCGCTCGACGAGAGGGCCCCAGCTTCACGCTCGCGTTCATCGTAGCAGTGGAGCCGGCCATTGACTGGCCTCAAGCGCGATTTCTTGAGCATATCTCGCTGGCGCTGGCCCATGCAGATGACTTCCGTTTTGGGCTCAGGTGCTTATTCGACGGGACTGGGCCCCTCTTTCAGTGTCTATGCCAGTGTGGCAAAGCTACTGGGCTCTCGCCCAGCTTCCCGAAATGATTGATTTTCTTGGTTCGTGATCGTCTCCGCGGCCCCCTGGCTGAATTTCCCCTGCGGAGCGGGGCCCACCTCGAATGCTTGGAAACTGTCCGTCGCACGAAGTACCCGGGGATCTGGATCGGCAGGGGCGCCCAGGAGGAGGCCCGTAATGAGAACATTATAAAAGCTCAGGAATAAATGGATTAGGGATCTGGGGCTTGGGCTGGCACAATCGACGGTGCTGTTCAAGACGTTATGTGTTTCGGTGCTGCATTTTGCGCTCCAACTTCATAGGCCTTCTTTTACGCTCTCGAAAGATCACCAGTCGCGCGTGCGATTCAGATCCAAATCATATCCTCTCATATGACATGCGTCCCACATCGAGATGTCCTGTCTCCAGGCTGAGTTCCCTCAGCTCTCACTGGTTACAGACGCCACCAGTGCCAGATATAGCAAGATGCGACGAGCTGCCGAGAACCCGTGGTTTGCTCAATTCGGCGCTCGAAGGTGACGATTGGTACCCTGCGCGCGAAGTCTCGGCTGGGCATGCCTCGAGTTTCCTCGCCCACTTACGTCAGTACCAAAACATGCTCGAGGCGTGTCATTTCGACGTCAGCTTTAAAGGATCAAAGGTGCAGAAGTAATACATCCGTGTTCTGAAGCGACACCACTCCCCATTTGATCCCCCATAGGCTGCCCTATTCCGTCGTGCCCGCAATTGGGTTCCTGGGGTCGAGCTCCTCGGTTTCGGACGGGCCTTCGCCCGCGTAGAGGAGGTCGCGCGGAGGTCCAGCATGCATATACCTTTGGCGCTTGTCCGAATGCTTGCCAGATGTGTCTGTACTGGCTCCAGGTGCCACGCGTTTCCCCACGGATGTATGGTTGGCTGCGCATCCCCAGTGTCCCGATTGTTGGACCTCGATGACATGCAGGCTTTATCAGTTGTTCAATTCCTGGATGGGCCCTTGGGTTCCGAGGTCTCCTGAGATTCCTGAGGGCTCGCCCTGGCTCCATCACTTCCTCCTTTTTCATTGGATGGGCTCCGACCAGTGTCTTTTCAGGTGTATGTTATGCGATGCTTTCCTCAGCATGCACTTTTCAATCCGACTTTGTCTTGCTGGCACTCCGCAACAGCAGTTTGAAGCACGTCCCCATACACAAGCCAGCAAACGCCGAACCTACCGAAATATTTAGGCCCGGCTCACACATGAAACATACAATCGCGGGGAGGGGTGTCCTTCACAAGTGGAAAATATGATACAACGCCAGGCCCCCCCCCCAAAGAAGGCATTGCAGCCGCCCTCAGGGTTTCCAGACTTCGTCCGATTGGGATGTGTTTGCTTATCTTAGGGGACGTGTTTGCTTAGTTGTGGGATGTGCCTGTTCAGTTGTTTGCCCTCCAGATGCCCTCGAACATGAAAAAGTTGGCAGGGGGTGGTCATCAGAAGACGGGGGGAGGGGGGCCGGGCTCGGAGGAGGAGGGGACGAGAAGGAGGAGAGCCCAGATCGACCTGTGGCGCCACGAAAAAGTAAGGAGCCCACACTGCTCTCTTGCAGTCTCGGCGCCCCGGGGGCAGGTCCCGGACCTGGGCGGGGGGATCTACTCGGAGAGGCCGCCCGCGTCGAAAAAGCGGCGCCAGGGATGGGGTCGAGAGCTCTGGGGCCCAAGCCGTCAAAAGTCAGGAGGGGAAAAAACACACAGACAAAATGAATCGTCGATTCCCTGGAAAATATGGGAAAATATGGGAAGTGGTGGGGAAGACAAAACCCCAGAAGATATACGAAAATATGTGGGATCTTTTTATTTGTGTGTATTTATTTGTGTGTTTGCGGGCCCCTTCAAAAAGTCCACGGCGTCGGAAGTTTGCGGAGGAGGAGGAGTGTGGGTGGGCGGTGTGGTGTGATTGCTTCCCGCAAGGAGGGTTTCTTGGGCGCGGGCCCGGATGATAGGGCGAGCGTGTTGGCGGGCTCACCACGCCAGGCACCCGCAGAGCTGAGCAGAAGCGAAGCGCCGCGGGGAGAGAAAGGAGAGCTCCAGCGTGTTCGACGCTGCTGTCGGTCCATGTCTTTTCCGGGCTGGCCAGCTCAAGGATCGCTGCGGAGCGGAAGGCTTCGCACGCGTTGGGTCCGCCGCGTGTTGGCCTGGCGCGCGGCGGAGGTCGGCGACGAGGCGAGAGCGGCTTGTGGTAGCGTGCAGGACCTGGCGCTGGTGGGGGCCGCACGCGTCGAGCGCGGCTGTCAGAGGGTCCTCGAGTCCTGTTTCGAGGAGGAGGAGGAGGAGGAGGAGGAGGAGGAGGAGGAGGAGGAGGAGGAGGAGGAGGAGGAGATGCAGCAGGAGGGGGGGACGAGGAGCAGGAGGAGGAGGAGGAGGAGGAGTAAACGGAGGAGGCGGAGGAGGAGGACGAGGAGGAGGCGAGGAGGAGGAGGAGGAGGAGGAGGAGGAGGAACGCGCTGGCTAGTGACGCGGTCTACGTTCCAAGTCTTCACTGCGGCGGCCATTGGAACAGAGGGCAACTCGCGCCCTTCTGGCTCGGTGAGGGTGACGCGCGAGTTTGCGCATCGATGAGCCGAGGGAAGAGTCGGTGGTGGACATGCTTACGGTCCTCCTGAGCACGAGGGGCGCTTCTACCAGGCGTACGAGCTCACCGTTGGCTACGATGACAAATGTGGATTGGTCCTGGCCTTGTGAAAGGAAACATACGCGCGCGCGGCCTATGCTAGGGAGCGAAGGAAGCGCTGTGACAACGTGGTTAGTGACCCCAGGGGTCGCTGCCCGCAGTGGTGCATACCTTGCGTGCCAAGCGTCGCTCGGCGGCTGCGGTAGTTTGAGCGTCCTGATCGTAGCCGTGGGCGGCGTCGAAAAGCACGTGCACGCGCACATATTTCAATGCCAAAACATATTTCTCCTCGCTTCTCCTCATCCTCCCCTCCTCTGCTCCTCCTCCTCCTCCTCATCCTCTACCCTCCTCCCTCCTCCTCATCCCCCCGCCCCCCTCCTTCTCATCCCCTCCTCCCTCATGCCCTCCTGCTCCTCCTCCTCTTACTCCTCCTCCTCCTCCTCCTCCTCCGCCTCCTCCGCACTCATCGTAAGCTCGTTGGTGGCGTCTTTAAGGTAAAGGCGCATGTTGGCGAACCGGACGATCTATCTGACGAGCAGCGTCTTTTTAAAGCCGGCAACGATATTGCAGATCATGTTGCGAAAAAAACGATCCTGAGACACCCGCAGCCTGATCAGGCTGATGCTGACCGGCTCAACCGGGCCATCAAGGTTGCCAAAGTGTGGTCATGCGCCTCTTTGCTGCTGAGCTGATGCCACAGTGGCCTCGACTCAATCTCAAGGATGCGGTTCTTGTCAAGGCTACCCCTCGCCCCTAAAGCGCCACCTGGCCCTGGACACGAATGGACTCGTGTCTCGTCGTTTTGGCAATGTCTTCAGTGATTGCGCGTCGCTAAAGGTGTGCCTCGTAAGCACTCTGACGGTCGGTACTCCTGGACCAACCTCGAACTTCCCCCTCCTGGAGTGTGCAACCGCGCCGGTAAGCTTGATTCCGACACGCTCGCCAGCCTCGGACATAATTGCGTCGCCCTGGCCTGCTCGGACGGTGCTGCTCTGTTCATCTGCCTGCGTTGCAAGGCCTACGCAGGCCATGGACAGCCTCGCAACCTTCTTAAAAAGTGTGGTGCTCCCCAAAGCTCGGGAGCAAAGCTTGCTTGGTCAGAAGCGCGTCGAAGAAAGCGCCCCAAGTTCGCGGGCGTTACCGTCGAGCGAGGTCCGTGGACTGACGAGTGATTGTGTCAGGCGAGGGCCACGGTGTGACTTTGCAGTCTCCTGCCCCTCTTGTTCCTAACCTTTTGGCGGTGGCCCCTTGGGGGTGGTGCCACCGCGCGATTGCGGCCCGTGGAGGTTAAAATCCTCCTGCTCCTCCTCCTCCTCCTCCTCCTCCTCCTCCTCCTCCTCCTCCTCCTCCTCCTCCTCCTGTTTCTCGTCCTCTCCTCCTGCTCCTCCTACTCCTCCTCCTCCTCCTCCTCCTCCTGCTCCTCCTCCTTCTCCTCCCCCTCTTCCTCCTGCTCCTCCTCCTCCTCCTCCTCCCTCATGGAAGAGGGCGCGCGAAGGTCGTCCTCTTCACCTCGGGGGTCGAGGCGCTCCAGAAGACGCGGCTGAACACGACCGGCAAGCACGGCCACGGCGCCGTGAAGGACCCGCGACGATTTCCCCGCGGGCTCGCGAGGGATTCCCTCCTCCTCCTCCTCCTCTCATCTCCCAACTACTCCTACTCCTGCTTCTATTCCTCCTCCTCCTCCTCCTGCTCCTCCGCCATCCTCCCTCTCCGCTCCTTTCCTCTCCTGCTCTCCTCCTCCTCATCCTCCTTCCTCATCCTCCTCATCCGACGCCGGCTTCTCCTTCTCCTCTCCTCCTCCTCCCCTCCTCCGCATCCCTCCGCATCAACCTCACCTCCTCCTCCTCCTACTATTCCAGCCTGCCCCTCCTCCTCCTCCTCCTCCTCCTCCTCCTCCTCCTCCTCCCCCTCCTCATCGTCAGCAGCAACATCAGCATCAGCATCAACATCATCATCGGCATATTCAAATTAATCGCCAGCATCAGTATCATCGGCATCATCGGCATCATCATCGTCATCAGCAGCAGCAGCAGCATCATAATCGTAATCATCAGCATCAGCATCCTCATTATCATCGTCGTCAGCAGCAGCATCATCACCATCATCACTGCCATCATCATCATCATCATCATCATCATCATCATCATCATCATCATCATCATCATCATCATCATCATCATCATCATCATCAGTAGCAGCATCATTAATTTCATCATTCTCAGCAGCGCTATTAGCATAATATGAATCATCATCTGCATCATCATCGTCGTCATCAGCATCAACATCACCAGCATAATCAGCATCAGCAGCATTGGCAGCATCATCAGCAGCATCAGCATCATCGTCGTCATCATCATCCGCATCAGCATCACCACTGTCACCATCATCAGCATCATCATTATCATCATCACCAGCACTTCTCCTCCTCATCATCCTCATTATCATCAGCACTATCAGCATCATCATCGTCGTGTTAATATTCGTTCAAAGCTTGCAACATGTTTGTCAGCTGATTCGCGAGCCTGTCGCAAGATGCGAACCGGGACAAAAACTGTCCTGATGTTTGCTGCACGCCGGTAGAGGGCTCTGCAGGACAATGGAGCACATGAAAATCAGGCGCAGATTTCTTACCCGGTGCAACGAGCACAAATGCTGAAGTTTGTGGTTTCGACCTTCTTGGAATGATGTGTTATAACTATCGAATAATTTTCGGTCCATCCCGCCACCGTGCCTGGGCTGTGGGTCATAGGTCTCTAGGTTGTTCGTTGGGATGTTTGCCTCTTGGGGCCCTCTTGGGACCTCTGGGGGCCTCCTGGGGCCTCTTGGGGACCTCTTGGAGGCCTCTTGGGGCCTCCTGGGGGCTTCGTGGGGCCGCGGGCTCGAAATGTCCGTTTGGGGACCCTGTCTGGGACCCGTGTGGGAGCAGTTGTGGGAGCTTTCTGGGCCGTCTTGGAGGCCTTTTGAAGTGTCTTGGGACACTCTTGGGCTATCTTGGGGCCGTCTTGGGGGGCTCTTGGGCCGTCTTGGGGCGATCTTGGCGGCCTCTTGGGCCGTCTTGGGGCGTCGGGAAGCCGAAAACGCGAGCCAAAACCTTCAAAAGCCAAAATTGTGCTTCATTGCGTTGTGTACGAAGGTTTATGGCCTCGGGGATTCGAATATTGCGTAATTCACTAAAGTTTATGGCCTCGGGGACGCAAATATCGCGCAAAGTATAAAGGATTATGGCGTCGGGAACGCAATTATTGTATAATTGACGAGGGTTTATGGCCTCGGGGACGCGAATATGGTGTAATTTACTAAGGATTATAGCTTCGGGGACGCAAATACCACGTGTCTTTACGTGCCCCACGCCCCCCCATGAATTCAGGCAACGCGATCTAGGCGTGGTAATAAGACCTATTTGGGGCTCCCTCTCCCACGCGCGTTCAGCAACAATTTACAGCACGAAGCAGAAAGCAGGACTGTAACATTGGAGATTTGAATTTGGAACTGGTGCAGGGAGCATGAAAGCTGAATCTTCGCAGCCTGATGGCCCCGTAAGGGGGTCGGCGGATTTTTCGGCGAGGATGAAGGGGAGATTGCCGAACAAGGTTTGGTTGTGATAATTGGACGTCATATTGAAAGCGAACGGCGAATCAGAGTCATATGTAAATTGCACATCCCCTGTGTACACCGATAAAAAAGGGGGGTGGTCGATCCGAGTTCCTGTTTCAAGAAAGTCGGATATATACTGCGCAATGTAAAACAATGCAATGCAATTCGTGGCGGCGAAGAGGCGTCCACATAATTCGCCGCCAGACCGACACACAAGCCCAGACGATGAGCAGCGACGAGGCGGCGACGGGGCGGCGACGACGGCCACATAACCGCCAGACCGACACACAAGCCCAGACGATGGGCGGCGACGAGGCGGCGACGGGGCGGCGACAGCGGCCACATAGCCGCCAGTCTGACACTCAGGCCCAGTTCCTTCGAACAGAGGTAAGAGCCCCGAAGTGCAAGCAACCATTGTTTGGGGCAGATTGCATCACACAGTTTACACGACATTGCGTCACAGAGACTGCACCACACGGATTGCACCACAGAGTATGCTGGAACACATTGTTTGGAGTCCACGTTGGCTCACATTCTCTGGTATCGGGAGACTTGCGGTGGATGCCATGTGGGCTCGTCTACAAACTCGCGAAGGCCAGGCTATCCAAGAAACAGAACGACCCTGGGTGGTACGCAGCACGCGGGCTCCTATGCGGCCTCAGGTGGTCCACTCTGCTACCGTGTAGCGGCTGCAGTCCAGACCTCCGGATGCGGCTCCGGGACCTCCCTGCGTTCGCGGGGGCTGTTGTGGAGGCCCACGAGCGGACCGGAGCGGACAAGATGTAAAGCGCGCCTGTGTCTGATTGGAGGCCCAGAGCCGCTGAGCGCAAGGCCGCAGAGCCAATCGATTGCTGGAAGTGGCGAAATCTTTCAAACTGCCGGAATGCCGTGGACAACACCCAACCAGAATGACTGAAACCTTGCGGCCGCACTGAAGCGCGGAACACGGCAAGCCCACCGGTTCCACAGCCAGGTTTGTTGAAGGCGCTCGTTCTAGCATCATCATGCTGGTAACGTGTGTTTCCTTATTCGTCCCTCGCCTCCTCCTCATCCTACTCCTCATCCTCCTCTCCCTCCTGCTTCTCCTCCTTCTGCTTATAGGATTATCCTCATCCCTCCTCCTCCCTCCCTCCGCCTCGACTGCGACAATGACCTGGACGACGGCGATGACAACGACAATGACGACCAAGACGACCTCTCCCCCGCTGTTTCGCCGTCGTTTTCCCCACAACCTGGCGGCGGGCCGCTCAGCGTCAGTCCCCGACCCACCCACCCCTTCCATTCCCATCCTCCTCTCCTTTCTCCCATTCTCCTCCTTGTTCTCCCTTCTGCCTCCCCACAATTCCATGCCCTGTCCCCCCCCTCCCCCTCTCCCCGCCCTCTCCCTACCTTCGCCCTCCCATCACCCCCCCCACCCCCATCCTCGGCCTCCTCCCTCCCTCGCCCGTTCCCCTTGACCTCACCTTTCCCCCCGTTCGCCTGCGGAAACATTCAAAGCCTGAGAACACTCGAAGCATTTCCAGAAGCCCCATGAACTCTCGAGAGCCCGTGTACAGCGCAGAAGATTTCCGCGAGTTTCCGTATCTTCGTCCTCTTCATCTTCCTCTGCCGCCCTTCCTCGCGAATAACTCGGCCCCTCTGTCGCACCGCAAGACGCGTATGCAGGCCAGACCAGGCGCTTCGCCTTGGATGTCCGTGCAATATTTTACCGAAGGCGCCTACAGCGGATCACCGCCGCCCCCTGCCTTTTTCAAGCAGTGGCGAAGCGTCTTGGCTCGCATATAGCCTTACCAAACAATGTTCTAAGACCCTCTTATGGTTCCCAAGAAATGTTCTTAGAACACTTCTGGCTGGGACTGTCTTGTTTTATCACCTCGGGCTTACGTTCTAAGAACATTGCTTTTGCTCTTAGAACATTCCTGGGTTCCAAGAACACTTCGTGGTAGGATTATAGGAATGGCGGGACGGTCGGTCCCTGCTCAAAAAACTATTGGAAACGCCGAGGTCGCCGAACGTTGCGGCCAAAGTTTGGACAAGCTATCGGATTGCGCGCTCCCCGAGCCGTAGTGGAGACAGGGGAGAAGGATAAAGCCAATTGGGAGCCTCTTGGGGCGCTGTTGGGGCCA